TTTTTTTTTGACTATGTTCATGCTGGCCTTGAACTCACTATGAGGTTGAGGCTGGGATCTTCCTGCCTCAGGTTCCCAAGTGCTGAGATTACAGAAGTAGGTCTCCACCTGGTCTGAAAGCAGTTCATGAACAAGACAGATCCCCACTTCCATCGGAAGGGAATTTTATCCTCTGCTTCCCACTGGATCTTACAGAGTAACAAATAAATACACAAAAAGTAACAGGGCCTGCTTAGAAGTTCACAGACAACCCCACCACCACCAAAAGTCGTTGCCCAGTAGTGACTCTGGTAAAAAGAAAAAAAAAAAAACAATAAAAAAGCTAGAGTCACAAAGGATCCTTAAGGAAATAACTGAATGCTCAAGCTAATTCCTGCACATGTCTACTTTGATCAGAGTCAGGAATAGCAACTGTATGGAAGTACTCCAAAGCTAAAGCTTGCAAAAGAAAAATCGGGACAATGAAATTTCTTATGATACAGGATTTTATAATGTGTTCCAAGTTTTAAAATAGTTATTGGACTTTATCTGAAAAAGTCTGCTTTGGTGTTTGTAGCCAGCTTGATCCTTACTTGCTCAGGGCTCAGGTCTTCCACAGGATCGCAGCAGTTCCTAAGGACATGACAAGGCAGCATATCCAGGCAATGGAAACCTGGGTGAAGAACACACAGTCACAGCATACCAGGCTTTCCCAGGAGTGTGGGCTCCATACTCCTTTGGGCAGCAACAGCAGGATGAGCCAACACTGGTGACACGTTCTGCTTTGTCACCACAGACCTCTAGGCTGGTCACAAACTTGCTCTCACCTAAGGCAGAAGAAATGACTATTCTGGTCATTTCCTACACTACCTTCCAAGCTATTCCTAAAACTTCTCTGTTGCCCTTCCCAAATGCTACTCTCCATGCTTTTCCCTGAACACACCAGGTACAAGGTTGCTCACGGCCCCAGCGTCATCTGGAAGCCTCTTCCCTGGCAGCTGCATGGCTGTCTTCCACATGTCTTCTTTAGGCAGGCTTCCTTTGCCACCTTTTAAAGACTGTAATCACCACCCACACTCCACTATTCATCCCCTTTCTCTGATCTTTCTTCATTGAACGTATCAGTCCGCCCCTGTATAGTTTATCTTGTCATGTCTTGCAATTAGTCCAAAGTCTGCAAGGGAAAGGATTTATCTTTTAGGTTCACAATTGATTTTGCAGTACCCAGGACAATGCCTAAACCATAATAAATAGTATGATTAATAGCTATAATATGGATAATATATAATTTTATATATTTACTAATAATATAATATAGATAAGAGAAATAGTGCACACACGGATAAAATCATACCTTTCCTTGGGTGGGGGCATGAGCATACTTCCATGATAAAGACTCAGAGAGAAACCACCACACACTCTGTGGGAAAACCATATGGTCTCATGTTAGGAGACTTGGCCTGGTTCACTCAATCCTGACTGAATCACTCAATATCCTCCAAGCATGGTACACACTGTCAGCCACCAGCAGCCAACGTACTCATCCATGCCTTCAAGACAGGGGCATCTTTTTTCTACTCACAGGTTCCCAGAGCATCCTCAGTGAGGGTCTTTGGCTGGGAATACAAGGAATCTGGCACACTCACTCCTTGAGATCCTGAGTGTAGCCAGAAATGTACATGACATTTATAGCATCTTTGCCGGGATTGTTTTGGAAAGGAAGAGGGGGAAACAATCTAAATGGTAGACAAATGTTGAATAGTTTTTCAGGTCCCTAAGATGAGATAATATAGTTATGATACCATATTGTTGACTGTTCATTAATCAAGGTTCAGGCTTACATTCAAAAGCCTTTTCCACCAAATAATAAGTCTTAGTTTTAGTCTGTATAAAAATTGATCTCTCTCAAGGAAATTTAGCCAAAGGAAGATTTTAAATCATACTCTTGCCAGGATATTAGTGATGTTAATGTCAGATCCTTCTCCTGTTTACTCCAAAGAGGAAAATTGTGTCCAGATCTCATTTGACATTTTAGTTCTAACACATCAAGACACAGTCTAGTCTTAAAACATTTTTGTTCCCCACCTTTAATTCACTTACATTTCAGTGAGCCTGCCTTCACCATTTGGGGGGTGATTGGTTCTTTTCCCTAAGATCTGCAAGCAGAAGGAGAGATTGCAATTGTGCGAGACCACCTTTGCTCCCTACTCCACCTTGGCAACATTCAACATATTCCTACCCACTGATTAAGGAGGCTGCCTTGGAACAGAACACTGGTGAGTGTGGCCAAAGAAGATAAGAACCCCAGCGTGAGGAAGCAATTTGTTACTTCTCTCTTTTGGTTGCCTTTTTCTAAACAAAACCTTCTACAAGACTGAAAGTTAAAGGCAACTGGAAGAAGTGGAAGTGAGAACTTTGTTATCGATGATTACAGTCATGTCAGGCCTTCCTAATAAAAAACAAAAGTTCATATCCTCACTATCTTCTGTTTTCCCCTTGTTTGTTTGGCTAGTGTCCACTGCAAATCTCCTGTTCAGTTATGAAAGAAAGAGGAAGCTGGTCGTGGTGGTGCACACCTGTAATCCCAGTACTTGGGAGGCTGAGGCAGGACAGTCGTGTCTGAGAACAGCCTGGGCTATGTAGTAAGTTCAAGGCCAAGGACTATGTAGCAAGACTCTGTCTCAATTACCACCCCCCGCCTCCCCCCGCAAAAAGAAGGAAGAGCCACTGTATCACAACCCACACACTCCAGAGGTCCATTTTCCACACAGTATTCATAACTATATGCTATATAATTGCTGTTATGTTATATGAAAACAGGTGTGTCTTTTTAAAAATATTTGCATTGCTGCCATTTTTTAATGGCTACAAAGGAGTAGGTTAAGCAGAGAGACAGTCCTGTATTTATTTGATCTTATTAGATATTAGTCTAACTATAATCCTATGATAAATATGTTGGTATGCAGGTTTTCCAAGTTATTTTCAAGATTTCTAGAAGTAGAACATTTAAGCCTGACAGCCATTTTTTTTTTTTTTTGGCTCTAAAGATGTCTGTTGCCTTGTTTCAAAGGCATATGGCAATGTATAGCCTTATAAGTAAAATCTTATAATAACTGCATACCGCACATCACAGGGCATACACTGTTCTAAATTCTTTGCACTAGCTCACTTAATCTTCACAGCAATCAATCAATCTTGCAAAGTAGAGAGTATTTTTTTTTTAACAGAAGAGAAAACTAAGACACAGGAGATTATGCTAGATTTTTTTCTTACATGAGGACAATTAGTTTGGGGAAGATGATTTTGTCAATCAAAGGTGAATGCTGGGAGAGAACCCGAGTCACCATAGTTACTGCTGTCTGTCCCAGCATAGGATTTTACCCACCTGAATTCTGAGGCTACGAGGAGGCAGGATGAGCAGTCCTTTGTCCCATCCAAGTGGCTTATACTCCTTCCCCCAGAGCTCATCAACCAGTTAAGAGATGTGGAAATCATGCAGACACTACAGCTAGTCACAGGAGCAGTATTCCTGGTCAATTAGGTCACTGCGGGTTAGAAAATTTAAGAACTAGGACCCTTCTTAACTTATTTGTAGACTTCATTAAGTACTAAGAAAATACCTCAAAATGATAATTTTGTCCAAAATCCTATTAGGGACTCTTCGGGTACTAGGACCTATCCCCCTATCCTCCTAAGTCCCACTGTTCCTGCTCCAACCAGCCTGGCAGGCCAGCGAGCAAGGGATAGAAGACAGCTCCCTGACCGCACAAGAGCTGAGAGGGGAAGAGACAGCTGGGAGAGCCGAAAAAGAAGGCTGAGGTCGAGGGATATGTCTGCCAGATTCCTGAGCGTGTGTCCAGGATGAGTTGAGCTGACAGCGCACAGCATTTCATCCAGTCCTCGGCTTACCCCTCACTTAATCTCTCTGACCAAGTTTGGCACTTTTGAAGAGTCCCCCCTCAAAGATTTTGAGGTGTTCTGACTTACCTATCACGTTACTTAAACATCTACAGAAGAGGGAGAGAAACCTATCAAGGCATCCCAAATGTGCTTCACTCTCCCAAGCACCTTGGATATTTCACCTTCAAGCTGACCTTTATAAAGTGTGCTCTTACGGCGACCATTTATGCTTAGATTCACACTGGACTTGGGAGTAGAAGGAGACCACGGATCCTGCTCTTCAGATTCAACCTCATGAACATAGAACCTTAGAAACAACACACTGAAAATGTGTGGAGTTTGTGCATTTGGAAATGGGGGAGGGTACATTGCTGGACATCCCAGTCAGAAAGGTTCATTTTGAGACAGAGCGTGGTGGCACATGCCTGTAGTCCCAGTACTCTGGAGCCTGAGGCTGGAGGATCTCTGTGAGTTCAAGGTCAGCTTGGGCTACATAGTGAGTTCAAGGCCAACCTGAACTCCATAGCCAACCCCCATCTCGAAAAACAAAACAATGAATGAAAGAAAGAAAGGTTGGTTTTGTCAATATCTTGACATACTAGTCAAAGATGACATTTTGTGGCCTAAATATACCACTTCTCTACTTATCAGTTCAAAAGACGGCTAGGATCCAGGTCTTTAAACATGATTAATGGGTTTTAAATTATCTAGTAGCCTCCACTTATGAACTCTGGCCTCCTGGGTAATGTTAAAGTACAGGAACAGAGCCATCTCCAAGAAAAGAAGAGTGCTGTTATGTCTACCCTGGGTAACAGGAGGAAAGGAAAGATGAATTAGGTTTGCTTTCTTATTTCTACAAATCAAATTCCTGTAGTATTTCAAGCTTATTTCAGACTTGATGATGATTTAAGTAGTATATTATTGAAGCTTGTTTAGTTCATGTTTTCTCTTTTTTTGGTACCAGGGATTGAACTCTGGATCTTGCACTTGCAAGGCAGGTGGTAGAACCACTGAGCTAAATCCCTGGGCCTAGTTCTTGTTTTCTATCGAGGTACTAATTTCCAATATACTCTTCATAATTAAATTGGTTAAGGTTCATTACCCTATAAGGTACTATCATTTCCATTTTACAGAAACTAAAACAGAGAGGTTAATAGACCTACCCAGAATCACACAGTAGAGAACAGCAGAGTCAGTGTTTGAAACCAAGCTCTCAAGCTCCAGACTCCATATTTAACCACAAATAGGTAAGACTATTCACCTGACTACTTTTACCTTCCTCCTTACCTCATCTGTATAAAGGAGATCCTTCCACCAATTTCAAGATTCTTAAGGAATTACCAGTGGACCATTAATGAGCTCTAAAGTCTTTGTATAATGGGGTCTCAACTGGCTTTCACTCTCTCCCCTGTGAGGAAAGGTTGATTTTCATTTCTGAGGTAAAAACAATCAGAGACATGTTGTGACAGAATTAGAAGGGAACTGCCTGCTATTGGCACTATTCCTGCCTCCGTCTGAGGGGTCTGATAGCCTTCTCCAGCTGTCTTCAGTCACTTAGAACAGTGAGTATAGCACTTACCACGCAGCGCAGTCCAGCTCACTCACAGGTAAAGGAAAAATTCCCAACTGCTCTTTAAATACTCAGAGCAGCCTCCAAGTTATCTCTCCCAGTCACCTTCAAGATGACCCACTGGTCTGCTAACACTTCCTGGGTTCCAGCTTGACACAATTACCTTCAGAGTATGAAACTCAGAACTGGGCTTGCTAGGTGAGGCGACTACAGCACAGTAAAGGGATATTCAGTCCTCCTTTGGCCTGTGTTGTCTACTTTTAGTAATGCAACCCAAGATCATGCTCTTCAAGTAATGCCAAAATAGTCAAACCTGCAATGCAGATCTTAGCTTATTACTAATCCCAATCCACTTCCTGTAGCTGCCTCTTGACATTATCTGAAAAGAAGCATTTGAAAAAATAACTACAGTGGTAGCTCTCAAGGACAGAACTAGAGAACAAGGCTACAAAAGTATGCTTAGGTGGCCCTCAAGCCCACCAAATGATTAAAATAATCTGAAGTCAAAAATTTCAGCACTTGCCAGCCATGGTGTTGCAAATCTGTAATCCCATGCTCAACATTCTGAGAGGCCGAGAAAGGAAGTTTGCAAGTTCAAGCCCAGCCCAGGCAATTTAGCAACCTAGCAAGAACCTGACTCAGAAATAACAAAGGGCTGGGATGTAGCTCAGTGTGAAGGACCTGGATTCAATCCCCAGGACGACAAAAACAAAAATGAGACAAAACAAAACACAACAAAAAACTCAGAGCTTTGGTTTGAACAGAAGTCCTAGAAGCCAACCCAATGCCCTTTGCTAACTCTGAAGTCAGTATTTCTAGCTCTTTCCCCTTCTGAAGCAAATTGTGCTTCCTGATTTGCTTGTGTTTGTGCAGGGTTGCGCGATTCCTTCCACCAATGTGTGTCTTTTCTGGCCAGAGCCCTTACCTGCCAGGGCAGAGATTCTCCAAACCTTTTCCTCTCAGACCAGGCAATTAGGCTGCTGTGAGAATCAGAGCTCACCTGTTGAAGGCCTGGACTGCAGGATGCATGGTAAGCACATCTGTATTAGTCCACTTCCTGCTGGTAATAACACAACACCATAGAATAGGGACATTAGAAAGAAAAGAGATTTATTTTGACTCATGGTTATGTTCCAAGGTTGAGGGACCGTATCTGGTGATGGCCTTCTTGCTGTAAGAGTCCCAGTGTAGCACAGGGACATCACATGGTGAGAGACAGAAGAATGCGCTCATATTCTCCGATCTTCCTCATAAAGGCACCATTATTCAACCAGCTCCGACCCTGCATGATCTTGTCGAATCCTAGCTTCTCTAAATATAATCAAACTAAATCTCTATACTACTGAACACTTCATAACGGGGATCAGATCTTAGCATGAATTTTCAGAAAGGACAAACCAGCCAGGCATGGTGGCACACTCCTGTATCCCTAACACCTTAGGCAGGAGGATTGCCTTGAGTTCAAGGCCAGCCTGGGCTACATAGTGAGATCTTGTCTCAAAAACAAACAAAAGAGAGACAAAACGTAGTGGAACCATAGCAACCACTTTTGTCTTTAAGCCTCTGAGATCTTGGGGTCCTTGTTACCAGTTTTTCGTAGTTTGTTTGAGGTACAGGGCTCAAATCCAGGGCCTTGAATATGGTAGGCAGGTGCTCTGCCACTGAGCTACACCCTCAGATTTCTCGTTAGCAGTTTAACTTAGCACTTTCTGACACAACTTCACTGTTAAACTCCTATAAGGAACGGAGTCCTCTTCAACAAGTCCTCAATCCCTCCATAGGGCCAGTAAGTCCTAAGAGCAGCCACCAGCCCAACACCTTTCCATCCCTGTTTTATGATTGGACTTAAAAGCTTTATCTGAAATGAAAATATTTAGGACCACCACTCAACTGTTATGCTGAACCATCAAGAAGGATCCCACTCCCACCCACCAACTGGCCAGCCCCTCACAGCAGCTCTTTCTAGCAGCCAGTGAATAGGAGCTATTCCTGTACTCAAGCACCACACCTTCCAAAGACAGAGAGCTCACCAGACAAGTGAGCTCAAAACAGGGAAGGTGATTAAAAAGAGGGAGAAAACATAACAAGAACAAAATAAGCTTTGGAGCAGCCCTGCCATTAAGTTTATAGTCTCCCTAGGAAAGCATTCAACTCTGTGAAACTGGTTCTTTCTAGACTCTGAGGCAGAAACCCAGGGAATGAGACAGTTTCACAGAAGTGCCTCCTGCTTCAGAAGTACGCTCCCTGTTCCTATACAAGTCATGGCCAGAATAGTGGTAACTTATTTTAAAAGTCACTGTGGTACTGTAACTTTGTTTCTGGCTCTGCAAAGCCTGGGAAAGTGAAACCCTCCAGAGTACCCAGTGGACTCAGAATGTCTAAGCCAGGGAGGTCCAGGGTTGGCCAGGCTTCCTTCCTATTTATTAGGTCACTTCAGTGTAGAGACACCCATCTACTCCCCGCACTCAGTGGAGAGCTGGACACACCACACTTCTTTAGAGTAGAATTTGCTTCCTGGGATCCCACCATCCCTTACCCATCAACTTTGGGACATGGCCCTTGGGTGGGGGGTGTTAATCTAAACCTCAGAGGATTCCAAAACCTAATATTTTGACAGAGTGGAATACAGGAAGGGTGGAGGGGGTGAAGGGAGGGCTGGGGAATGGGGAAAAATAAGAACCAAGATAAGTCACGTAAAGGTGCAAGATCCCAATGATGAATGTAACTGTACTGTATACCTAAAATGTACCAACAAACTAAATTTTAAAAATATGGGAAAACCTACTCATTTTCCTGTGTGGCATTTGGGAGGGAACATCTCATCCTTACCAACCCATTGAATCTCCATTGATACAAATGGATACACAAAGGATCCAGAACTGAGAAAATCTAGACCATTGTTTAAGATCTTCCCCCTTATTCAAAGCCCTCCCCCACTAGTATTTCATAAAATCTAAAACCATAAGCAATTATTCAGTTGAGTTTATCAGTGTATTTCCTGAAGGTTCTAAAAGGAAGATATTCCAAGGAGAGGTAATGCTTATCAACAGCTGTGTGCTATGTGCTAAGAATTTTACCGGTTTCTGGGGG